CATTTTGATTGAAATCCATTTAACCTTCAAATATAAATAAACGCGATATTAATAAAGCAAAATATAAATATTACAAAATGCATTACAAAAAAGTGGTATGCGATAATTAAATATTATAAAATATAAAATAGCATAATATAAAATGACATAGTATGTCTGTCACTGGAGATTTGCTGGATCTATAACAAAATCCGTTATATCAAGATGCGTTATGTCGTAATCCAAAAGATCATCATTAGGTTCGTTATCGTTATCAACGTGATTAATCTCGACCTCTTTCCCCTTTTTTCTGCAGTGAGGCTTGATAAAGATCGGCTAAGTATTTGGTTGTTCTGCAGGTATTGACCAAATGGTTTTCAATGCCACACCAATTACAAATGCCAATTTGTCTCTTTCCCTGTTTAGCCTTTTCGGCTATATCCCCATATTGGGGTTTACTCTGCTTCCTGTTAATCTCAAAACCGCGGTGATTGTAAGGGGTATATCAACTGCGTTGACTCTCACGACCTCAACCACGTCCACGACCTCGTTCAGAAAATGTCACGTTCACTTCAGGGGAACAGACTAGAACCAGTGGACCGGGAATGATGATTTTTCATCAGTAACTCATTATTTTGCTCAGCTAATAAAAGACACGCAATGAGCTGCAAGTATATTTGAAAGTTTTTATCATGATACTGCTGTTGCAGACAACATTAGAAACATGGAAGGTAGAGAGAGTCTTTTCCAATTTATCATTCTCAGTAACAATTTCTCTGTAGATTTTCAACTGAGATGTAATATCATGGATAACATAGTTGTACTATGTAATAATTTTAAAATCATGCAACCGTAGGTTAAGCCAATCATGTTGGGATTTCGGGAGAGTGATATATTTCAAATGCTCAAATCTCTCCCTTAATTCATTTCATAAATCAAATGGATCTTTCACCGTCAAATATTCAGACTGTAGAGGAATGTCCAAATGATGACGGATGCAAATAATAGCCTTAGCCTGATCTTGGCTTGTAGTCACATTTTCACTGGCAATTGTATGAACAAGGCCCATAGAAACCAGATGCATTTCAACATCCAGGGACCAGAGATTCAAGAAAAAAGAGAAATTGTAGTGTGTTTAATTCTAGTCTCATACACCAGTTATATAGGAATTTGAAAGCTAATTAAGTGGCTACAGAAGTGCCAACAAAACATTACATATAATATTATAAAGCATCAACATTTATAGCACATAGGGATTACGTTGATATTATATATATAACAGAGATCTTATTTATAGTTTAGGTAAAATAATTATTAAGAAAATATTTTCTATAAAAAAATACTAGTCAAGTGTACTTTTTAAATATGGCTTTGATATTTAAAAAATATCTAATGCTATATTTTAATAAAAAATATATATCGTTGGATTTGACTCATGACCGTTGTTCATGTTTTTAGGTCTTTATATTTTCAAGCCAAATTATTTGAAGCTTTGACTCATACTATTGGCTCGTCTCATTAACTGTTTAACTATATACATTGGATATATGGATTGAGTGTTGACAGCTGCTTCATTATTAAAGAGAGTTGATTTTAATTTTTTAGACATATTAAAATGTGGATCTAAACGAGCAAACTCACACGAACTGCGGGTTGAAATTGATGAGTTAACCCGTAATTGGGCGATCAATCCGTGGGCTAAATAAATATAATTATAATTATATTTTATTTTTATATTTCTAATGAATTTACATATTTTGTCATTTTAATATATCCAAAATTAATCTATTTATTTCTTTTTTAGTAATATTACTTACTACATAATTTTAAAAAATTCTTACAACTTAACATATTATTACAACAAAAATCATCATCATTGTTAAATACTAATAGGGTAAACTGTTTTTTTAGTCCCGTAACTGGACCCCTTTATCATTTTAGTTCCGTAAGTGGAGCATGCCGCAAACTAGTCCCATAAGTAAAAAAATTTCGCTGTTTTAGTCCTCCGGCCCCGGATCACATGAAATCTTTAAATTTCAAAAGAAATGTATATGACAATTGCCTATATTTCAAAAAGGTAGTATACCTATTTTTTGTTTGATCTTTGTTTATGATATGTTGTTAATAAGTCATAGTTTTAAAATAGTAAATCAAATTAATAAATTTTTAAATGATCATTTGATATGAAATTTTTAGGTGATGCTAAAGTGATATTGAAAATACATATTACAAGAGATCGAACATACAAAAAAATATTTTTGGAACATATATTCTATGTTTTTAAATTCTAAAGTTGTTAATGTTTCACTTGCATTTCTTTTCTGTTTCAATAAAAATCATTGTTCTAAAATTGATTTAGACTTTGCTTATATGAAAAATATTCCATGTCAAATGCAATAGGTTTTGTGATGTATCTCATGATTAGTACTATACTAGATATAGCATATTTTGTAAGTTGTTTGAGCATATTCATAGCTAATATAAAGTTGGAACATCGAGTTGTATTAAATCACTTTTACGTTACATGTGTGGTTCAAGTAATTTGGAATTAGTATATAAACAATTTAGTGAAAGCATAGTTTTAAGGGAATAAATGGTTTCAACTATGCTAATGATAGGAACAATGGAATATATACTACTTTTTATGTGTTATTTTACGTAGTTTGTATATAAGTTGAAATTCACAACTGCAACACATAGTTGCACCGTCGACTACCAAATCAGAGTATATAGCAACAACAGAAGCCATAAATGAGACATTATAACTAAACGGTTGCTCACATAAATTGAATACATAAAAAGTGAGGTATAATTATTTTTCGACAACCAATCAAGTATTCAATTATGTAAATATTTTATTTTTCATGGTCGAACTAAACATATAGATGTTGAATTCCATTTATTAAACATAGAGTTGCAAAAGTTTTTATTACTTGAGAAAATATATTCAAAATTTAACCCTATTGATATGAGACAAACCCTTCCACCGTTTTGAAATTTGAATTGTGTTTAAGACTTTTAAATTCTGATACACTTGGTTTTATGTTTTAATACTTACAATTTTGTATGTGAATATTGCATTTTTATTTTGAGTAAATACTAACGACATGTACGAGCATAGGCCACTATGATGATTCCCTTAAGCATCATTTTTATTATGTCAAAAAGATTGAAAGTAATGTGGGGTTTTACTTATGATGTGTATTGAGGATTTTATATTTTTAATCTTAAGATGAAAAATAATGTGAGGTTTAACTTTTTAATCACGGAGATCAAATATGAGCCATTGGATGTAGAGGTTGAGAGTTGGCCATTGGATTGATATAATAGTGTGATATATTGTTATGCGCCGTTGTTCTTATTCATTCATCCCATCACAAGTTTATCTCTCTTGCTCGTTGTCCTCTTCCTCTTGCTTCTATGACAACAGATGTTATATGTTTCTCAAATTCTTTTTGTAGGGATGCATAACTGGCTTTTATGAAAAAAGACGTCCATCATTTCTTCTTGTGCATTGGATATTTTTGCATTATCTATATGAAATATAATTACTTTGTTATACATATTATAATATTTTCGCATATATATTGTGCACATACCTGAGTGCGAAAGTTGTCTAGTAAGCGCCGGAGACAATATGTGTGGTGGGCTCAGAAAATACAGCGTGGATGAATTTTAGAAGTCCCGAGTGTTTATCTGAAAAAAATGTATTTTTTTTTCAATTATATCAACAATTTACGTGAAGAATAACCCTTAACCTCTGGCAAAACTATTTTCAATCTTCATCATTTTCAGCATACACCGTTGTATAGTAACAATATTTTACAAACATTCAATATACAAACACATAGAATAAATTTCAAGGTTCAAAGATGAGTGATCGTAGCAATATCAGACAACGTTAGTATAAAATTACTAAATCTAGGTATACTACATCAAAAAAATTCCTGTGAAAACGCCAATGTGTATTACCAAAAAACTTCACATTTTGACTATACCTAAAAAAGTTCTCCAACTAATCGATCACAAAAAATTTTATATTTACTTATAATATCAAATAATAGTGAAGATGATCAATCATACTTGAATTCTGATCTTCATCTTCAACTGAACGTGTGTGTGATCGATCATGAGCCATAATAACACCACCGTAATCAATCAACAAAATTATTGCACCAAAAGAAGATCGCATGTTAAAAATTGAACCTTCGTCTCACTTGTTTCTCTCTCGCGTGAAATAAACTTAAAAATTAGGATTTGATTCAAAATCAATCAAAGATCAGCCATCGATCACAAAATCCTTTGCGTGAATGAAACAGAATGTTGTACAAGTGAGCATTCTTTCGCACGAAAAAAACCTACCGTACAAAGAGAAAATCAGAATTGATAAAATACATTTGCAGTTGAGATTAGGACAATATTAAAAATGGGGGTAAAAGTAAAGAGTTAATAGCAAGAATTATTTAAAAAGGAGAGTGTAGTGTACACTAAAATTTTTATGGAAACTGAATCTAAATATGAAAATAGAAAAAATTATTTAATTCCAATTATATGATATAAAATGGTGAAAAATATTCATTCTACAATAAGTAAAAAATTTATGACAATCTAAAATTTATTTGCCCAATATTTTTTTAGTGGCACATTTCTTTAATTATTATAAAAATAGAATATATAATCATATTAATATAATGTATAATATATATTTTTATTCACAAAAATTAATAATTTAATATAAAATATTAATTTATATTACTAATACAATATACTCGATCTAATATAAAAAATAAATTTATTTAAAAATACAAAGTAAAATAAACCTATAGTATCAAACAAAAATATATATATATATTATATATTTTAAGTTGGAGGGAGTAGTATAATTAATTAAAAAATGTGAAAAGGGAACAACTTGTGGTGCAAAAACAATGGGCATTATCCATTCCAGACTCGAGAGTCTGGTGCGTGGGACCCACGCGATATATATGTTCAAATCAAATCAAATCAAACCAATTCATTTTTCGCCCCCATATCTCCAGAATATGCTGTCTCTCCCGAGCACATTCGCCGATTCCGGTTGCTTAGAGAATCGGCGGTGCTGGTGATTGATGAGGCGTTTTTACACTGGGGGTGATTGCAAGCTGTTCGCCTCTCCCACAGGTAACGATACATCATTTTTCTGATTGTGTGCTTGGTTTTGGTTTTGAACGTTGCGTTACGAATTCAAGCTCCTTGTAGCTCCTCTGCTGATTTCCTTTTCGTCTGCGATTCTTTTGTTTAAGAAATTATTATGTTTAAGTAACTTTGGTGCTTGATGGATGAGCTATGGGATGCGGATTTTGGCATATGAATTACAGATAACGATGCATTTCTTTGTCCGATTTTAGCGTATTCTTGTTGCGAAATATGAATTCGGATCATTTGTTGGGTAAGCGATGAATTTTGCGTCTTTTTTTTCCTGTTAGGTTTAGTCAGGGAAGGGGATTATAATCTAATTCGACAGGAAGTAGTTGTTAGGAAAGTTTATGATGATTGCACCGCCTTAAAGCTCTTCCACTTTGGTATAATAATGAATCTGTCATAGATTATGATCGAATTATCCTCATCATTGCAGAAGATCCCTACATTGATTATAAGAGAAGCGCCAAAACTACCATAATGTCATTATGATTTACTTATAAAAGTGTTATAGAAAATTGCATAGCTCATATCAGAGAATAGCATTCAGTTTACTGGATGAAAACACGGATGAAGTGCATCAAAAATCAAAATTGATTGTTGGATTGCCCAATTTTGTAATAACTGAGTCTTACAGAGAAGAATTGTGGCGTACTGCTTTGTTCTTGTAAACCATTTAATTGTGCCTTTGCAAATAGCTTTACGACAGTAATAACTAAATCATGATTAGAATAAGTGTTAGTATAATTCAAGAATGAGTACATGCAGTAGAATTTAATTTGATTAAGAAAAGAAGTCTTCTCGTACAGGGGTAATGCTTCCCTTTCAGATTCTTGAATATGTGAAGAACAGACATCGAATGTTTGAATATTGAGAGAGTAAACATATCTCTGGTGCTTACAAATTCTCTCAGTGAGCTTTGTTTGTTCTGTTATAAGTGCAAAAGATTTGCTTACATCTTTTATAGTATATCAATTCTAAGCCTTTTTACAGTTGCCCTCTTAAAAACAAGTATTCGACACAATACTTAAGAACCAACATATTATCTCGCTAAAGTGTTTTAAATGATATTTCAACTTCACAGATATATTCATTGGGCAAACAGGAAACATCGCAGCCATTCATCATGTCCGCTGCCACCCTGTTGGAGGCACCAAAAGAGAAGGCTATTGTCAACGCAAGCTTGTGGAAATCGTCTCTATTCTCATTAATTCCTTGGGCCATAAAAGCCAGAGATAAAATTCAGCTCCCTACAATCATTAATAAAGAGCTGAAGAAGCATGCAATATCCCACGAAAACCTTGAATCCACCACTCTTCAGCAATCAGGTATACGCTTCAGACCGTACGTTTCAAAGGTTCCTTGGCATACAGGACCAAGGGGCTTTCTATCTCAGTTGTTCCCACGGTACGGTAACTACTGTGGGCCGAATTGGTCGAGTGGGAAAGATCGAGGGTCTCCTATTTGGGACAAACGCCCGATTGATTGGTTGGACTTCTGCTGCTACTGCCATGATATTGGATACGACACTCACAATCAAGCCGAGCTTCTCAAGGCAGACCTCGCATTCTTGGAGTGCTTGGAGAGGCCGAACATGAAAACTAAAGGAGATCCTCGAGTTGCTAATCTTTACAAGTTTATGTGCATTTCAGGTAATAACACATAATCAGCCTTGTAAGTTCTAATTCACATCTGATGGATTCTTTTTGTCGAATTTCTTGCATTCAATTACCGGGTTTCTTCCCTAATCCATCGTTGCAGGTTTGAGAAATATGTTGATTCCATACCGACAGAACCTCCTGAAGTTGCAATCCAGAAAGTTGTTCTTCCCATTGATGCAATTCAGCAACATGAAATGGAGAGGATGGAACTTTGCCAAGACTTAGGATTGATCATAAGATTTACAGGGAAGAAGTATATGGCATTCTGCAATGACTGATAGCTATATGTATATATATGTAAAGATATAGATATATATATATATATATATACACGGATATACGTGCATGTGGCTATTTCATCATGCTTTTGTACCCCCGATGAAACGAACCATGCGAGTGTAGCAATGAAATAGTAGAGCATATTCATTCATTTGTGTGTGAGCTAAGTTCAGTTCAGTTCAGTTTACGGATGAATAATTTGCGTTTGACTTTGACCATCTGAAATCTGAATTCCACAGGTCTTGCCGTTGCAGTTGCAGATATTGAAAAAGTTTCGAGTTTCCGACAATGGAAGGGAATTGACAGATTCATGCTCAGGTAAATTATACTCCTTTCCTCCCGGATACCATGTCACGTTGCCGTTTCTGTCCGTTCCCACTTATCATGTCATTTTTCTTTTTTGAAAATAATTACATATTTTAATCTCATTTTAAATTTTTTTGTTTTATTAATTTTTAATTTTAATTAAACTAATTAGTTATATTAATCTTAATTTATAATTATTTATATTATAAAATAATTATTTTTTATTGATACATTCTTAATTATCTACTAATTATACTCCGTGTCTGCTAGTCTGTTGTGTAGCAGACACGGTCTGAAATCTGAAACGGAGGGAGTAATTTAGGTTGTCCAGTCTTCCTTTGCATTTTGATAGTGTTTCTGGATTTATTTATTTATTTATTTTAAATAGATTAGGTATACTTTTTTTTTACTCTCATTTTACTTTTAAGACTCTAATGGTGTTTTTGTTTGAGTGTCTGGATTTTGAGTTGAAATTTAAATAATAAAAAATTTGAATTCGAACAGTGGTATGATGTGATATAAATAAACAGTGATGTGATATTTTGAATGTAAAATTGATTTTTTTAGTATGATATAAAAAATGAAAAATAAGTATGATTTGATATTGTTTTTGGGGAAAAAATTGGTATGCATAGTGTAAGACTTTCCAAATCTTTCAAACGAAAACACCCTAAATAAATTTTCTATGAAAAATGTTCCAGAATTTTATTTATTTATTTATTTATTTGCAAAAAGATCATTTGTCATTGGAATTGCTAGTTGTTGATGATGTGGTTAGTCAGTGTTGATTTGGCGCTTATTGTCTGACTTGTCAACACGACGTCACACATGGGGTGTTGGTGGATTTTTTTTATATGCTGACAAGTCAGACGCGTAAGCGTCAAATTAGCATTGCCCAGCCACATATGGAAAATGTAGCAATTCCGATGGAGGATAATTATTTCTGAAAAAAATGATAATTGCGGAATATTTTTTCATATACTATAATTAATTATATATATATATATATACATACATTTATTAGGTAGTTGACGATGGGTGATTATTAGTGATTGATGTGCGGTAGTGGCGATATTAGATTATAGATTAGATAAGATTAGATTCCTAATTCTTATCATCGCATATTTGTGCACGATTTGTTTCTTTATTACTAGTTTGTTTGGTCTGTCATCACACACACACAAATATATATATATATATATATATATAGCATTTGGTTAAAACGCATAATAATAATAAATAATAAATGACAGCCATCGTGGATATTGGGTTCACATGTAGTTTGAGTTGATACAGAATATAACAAACACGTAGCCCATATACATATCATATATATATATATGCAATAAAAAGGACATATGATGAATCTCCAATGTTCATAGATAAGACATTTTTATGCCTCCAATTTCAGCCAATTAATGAATGAAATGATAATAGTATCTTAGGGTGAGAGAGAGAGATAGGAAAACGACAAAAAAAAAAAAAAAAAAGAAGAGAAAGAGACACGTGGAGGTTGCCAACCTGCACTGCACTTGAATCCTCCTCACCGCGTTCTTCACCGTAGCTTATCTCTAATTCGTGAATTTTATTTATTCAATTTTTATTTTAAATATGCAATTATTGCAGTAATTTCATTTTAATTATAATTTTATTTTTTATTATTATTCTTCAAATATTTAATTTTTTTATTATTTTAAGCAATTTTTTTATTTTTATAATTTAAAATAAATTTAGAAAAATAAAAAATAAATTTTAAAATTAAAATTAAAAATTTTAATTGGCGTTGTAATGTAACAACGCAAAAAAGTGACGCAAGATTTGAGGTCGATTGGTAATGACGCTGGGTTGAAGACGTTCATGGTCCTCTATTATTAATTCTTTTTAATCACTGCTCCTAATTATATTTAATTTCTGTATAATGTAGGAGTATATATTATTTTTTTATTTCATAATAGGGTGTGTGTGACATTTTGTATTATTATTTAATTTTGAGAGATGTTTGTATAACAAAATATAATTTTTTTTACTATACAAATTTATAATTTCATGTCAAAAAAAAATATTTAAATTTTATACAAAAATACCACTATCTTCAGACAATTCTCAATGAATATGCACTATTTCATCTTATGAAGATGAATTTTTTAGACTCTACTTTTATTAATAAGTAGATGAATATTTTTAATTTAAATTATTTTGGTTTTGTTGTATATATTTTTGTAAATTTTGATATTATTCAACAATAATAATATTTTCGACAAAAGAAAATAAATTGCATCTAATACAACAATAACTTTTTTTTTGAAAAAATCATATTAGTATATTATCTCCAAAAAATTTTAAAAATTTAAAACTTGTATCTTAAACTGAACCTTTATTTTGTTTTTTGATCGGATAAAACTGAAATTTTATTATTTAAACATGTTTGATGTTTACTTCCAATATATGCCATTAAAAATACACTAACGTGCATTGTGTTTGGTACAGAAAAAAAATAAAGTCATAGAAATAGAAATGATATCATTTCTGTACTAAAATATAATTTTACAAAACATCGTATATAATTTTTCTAAAAACTAATTTATCAAAAATATTTTTCATGAATTTTCATTCGTTAAAACTCTCTTTTTATCGAGTTAATCATTTATTTTTATTTGATCATTCATATATCTGCATTTTTTTTAGATTTCTCAAATGAATTCTCTGTTTTATCAAACAAGAGAATTAATTCTCATTCTCTACTTAATTCTATTTCTCACTAATTCTATTATCTATTCTCATTTCTGCGATTTCATTCTCTGTACCAAACGGCCCTAAGTACCCAAAATTAATTTCTCAATCAATCATATAAGTTTGTTTATTTATTTACCCGTCATAAACTATTTATTTATTTATTTTTGTTAACGGTCATAAACTATTTATTTTATTTTTATAGTACATTTTACAGTAAAAAGTACTCTCTCCGTCCCACTTTGTTCCTATTTTCTATTTTCGTTCGTCTCACATAATTTGTCCATTCCTTTTTTGGAAATATAATTATATATTTTAATCTCATTTTAAATTTTAAATTTTATAATTTTTTTAATCTTAATTAAACTATTTAGTTATCTTAATTTTAATCCACAATTATTTTTATTATACGATAATTATTTTTATTAATACACTTCTTAATTATTTATTAATCATATTTTACCTAAATTCTCGTATATATAGTAATAGACTCATAATACATGAGACGGAGGAATATAAAAGAAAAAAAATAACCAAAAAAAACACACACACACATTAGTAAAATTCGTGTAAAAACAAAGTAGAGCCAAGGAGTATTATACTCTCATCATTTTAGAAAAAGTATTAATTTTTTATTCTCATTAGGTAAAAAAAAAATATTTATTTTTTAATAATTACACTAGCTATTTAACATTATAGATATTTTTATAAATAGTAAAATATATTACAAATATTATTATTTATATTAAGTAATGTATGTTATTTTATTTATCTTTTTAATAATTGTATTACTTATTTAGTATTATATTCCTCGTCTTTTAACAATTTATCAATTTTTTTAATTTTAGTTCGTCCTATAACAAAATATCAATTTTTTTTAATAATTGTATTATTTATTAACATTAAAAATACCCTTTAAATTTACAATATATTACACACCTATCATTAACTATCATACAATATTTACAATATTGATAAAATTAATTTAATATCTTAATATAATACTAATATTTGTAAAATTTCATGTAAATTGATAAATAGATATAGGACGAATGGAATAAATACTCATACAGTATATTATATAAATACACAATATGTACAAATATTTTTATTTTTATATTACTCAATATTAATAGAATTACTTTTGAAAATAACTATAAATTATGTATATACATATATATATATGTATGTTACTATATATACATGCTGTATATATATATATATAGAGAGAGAGAGAGAGAGCACAAATTTACTGGCAAGCAGAATGCAAACACGCCCTTGCCCACCTCTCATCTAAAGCCATAGAAGCCATCAATGGAGAAGACCTCGCCGGCGCCGCCGGTCCTGTGTTTCCTACTACTGCTACTCCTCCACGGTGGCGGCGCCAGTCCGATCAACACGGTGGTGGTGGTGGTTATGGAGAACCGCTCATTCGACCACATGCTGGGGTGGATGAAGAAGCTCAACCCGGAGATTAACGGCGTCGACGGCTCCGAATCCAACTACATCAACGCCGCCGACCCGGAATCCACGCGGGTTTTCTTCGGCAACCACTCGCACTTCGTGGATCCGGATCCGGGTCACTCCTTCCAGGCCATAAGAGAGCAGGTATTCGGGTCGAATCGGACCCCCGCCGCAGCGCCGGCGCCGATGAACGGCTTCGCTCAACAGGCTTTCTCTATGGACCCCAAAATGCCCCAGAGCGTTATGAATGGATTTTTACCCGACAAGGTTCGCTATTTAGTACATAAAATAAATTCAAATATATATATCTATAAAATTTAACTTGATTATGGGATTTTATTAGTTAATTTATTTTGTTTTTATATATCTATTAATTAATTTAATATCAATTTGCCTATATTTATTTACTGCAATAACATGCTACATGCATTATCAATTAAATAATCTTATAAGGTAGAAAATTACTATTCTACCCTTCCGGCAGGTAGCAGTTTACAAATCCCTAGTATCGGAATTTGCAGTATTCGACCGGTGGTTCGCCTCCGTGCCGGCGTCGACGCAGCCGAACCGTCTCTACGTCCACTCCGGAACGTCGCACGGCGCCACCTCCAACATCGCGGCGGAGCTAGCGAAAGGCTATCCGCAGCGCACGATCTTCGAGGATCTGGACGACGCCGGCATCTCGTTCGGAATATACTACCAGAACATTCCGGCAACTCTGTTCTACCGGAACCTGCGGAAGGTCAAGTACATCGGAAAATTCCATCCGTACGGCGCGTCGTTCAAGAGCGACGCCGCCGCCGGGAAGCTGCCGCAGTACGTGGTGGTGGAGCAGCGGTACGTGGACTCGAAGATCGAGCCGGCGAACGACGACCACCCCTCGCACGACGTCTACGAGGGGCAGATGTTCGTGAAGGAGGTGTACGAGACGCTCCGGTCCAGCCCGGTCTGGAACCAGACCGCCATGGTCATCACCTACGACGAGCACGGCGGGTTCTTCGATCACGTCCCCACGCCAAACACGGGCGTGCCCAGCCCCGATTCGATTGTCGGCCCCGAACCCTTCCTCTTCAACTTCGACAGATTGGGGGTTAGGGTTCCCACCATTGTTGTCTCTCCCTGGATCAAAAAGGGCACTGGTAAGTGGTGGTAACCAACCTCCTCTTTAAAATTACCACTGGTCATACTATTAATTGATTGATTACAGGCCATTATTGATGCAATTAGGTTTATTAGGGTTTCCAATGTTGGGGGAAATTTTCAAAAGGGGTTTGTGATGAAAAGATCATTCACATTGTGTGATGTAGACAAGATAAGGCTATGCCCATAATTCTTTCTTGAGTTCATACATCCTTTTAGGTCATTTCTTGTGAGCAAAATCAATTGAGGGGTTTGGGTCACTTTCTAACTGTCCACTGCCTCAAGTTTAAATGCAGCAGTGGTTGAGAATTTAATAAATGATATATGATCATAACACCCCCCCACCCCCCCCTACATTGTTTGGATTTTTGAACCTAGAAAGTTTTCAGGTCAAGTGACTTATGTGTGAAAATGGTGGGTGCAGTTGTTCATGGCCCTAATGGCAAACCATTCCCAACATCCGAGTACGAGCATTCTTCGATTCCATCGACAGTGAGGAAGATATTCAACCTCAAATCACCTCCTCTTACGAAGAGAGAGGCGTGGGCGGGGAGTTTCGAAGGCTTGTTCCAAGCGATGAACCAGCCAAGAACCGATTGCCCTGGTTCGATAACCACATTTCATTTCGATCTTCTTCAAGTCCAAACTAATAACAAAGTAACATTTCTGACAAGTCTGATGTTTTGAGTTCTAATGTGGTGTTGAAACAGTGAAACTCCCAACACCGGTTAAAATCAGGGAGGGGGATGCAAACGAAGACTCTAAATTGAGTGAGTTTCAGCAGGAGCTGATACAGCTTGCTGCCGTCCTCAAAGGAGACGACGTATTGACAAGCTATCCGGGGTCGATTGGTAAGGATATGACTGTGAGGGACGGGAAAGCGTACATGGAGAATGCTGTAAGAAGCTTCTTTGAAGCAGGCTTTGCTGCTAAAAAGATGGGGGCTCATCCCGAACAAATCGTCAGAATGAGAACATCTCTATCCACAAGAACATAGATCCATCGAAACAACATGTGTACTAAAAGAAACATCAAAACATGCATTCATTGTTAAATGTGATCCATCTGTACTAATAGAGTGGCTATAGACCAACAAATATCGCCGACTATAATGCAGAAGAAGACAGTGTATTATTATGTGTATTGTAAAAGTTTTACCTTACAAGCTTTTAGAGATATAAATCAATACAGAAAACATATTTGCAGAGGATGAACTTAAGAAGAAAGGCTTTTTTTTTTTTTTTTTCTCTATATTCCGAATCGAAACTCAATGTAGTTAAATTGCATGTTTCACCAGTGTATGAATGCCGCAGAAAGAACAAGCTCAAGATAAAAGGGAGGTGCCATAAAAACTTTGAGCGATGATCCATACTGTTTGCAGACCTACAGTGTGTCCCAATTGGGAATATTCGCGCTCGCTTCATTCACTGCTTTGACAAGCCGTATCTGCGAGAATAGAAATCCGGATTCTGCGTTATCGCATCAAATTTTGACACAGGGACAGGTTGTAATAACCAAAGGGATGGATGATACGAGAACATACCACGCTTTCAGGGACGCCTGGAGGAGGTAACGATATGTTTCTTGGGGGAGGACCACTAAGGTGGGATCTCTTGTCAAATCTCCATTCCCCAATCTTCCCGTAGGTTAGTTCGCCCTGCCATTGTTCTTGTTAGTAAGTGCCATTGCATGACCACAGACTGCTCGCTTTAGAAAGATTAGTATCGTAACGCGAAGGCAATATACCTTCATGTTGTAATCGCATCCGTATGTATAATGGATGATGAACTTGTTGCCAACTTCCAAATCCCATGGTGGCTAAATGAAGAAACAGGTTAGTGATAAACATTCGAATGGTGATACAGCATAAAGAAAATATATAGCGATCATAACGCAGACCTGCAGCATGAAATCCTTGCGGAGAATGTGTCTCACTCCGTGCAATGCAGAAGCAACGGCATAGCCATACCTATCGTAGATAGATTCAATATCGAATTCATGCAAATCTTTACCAAGTCTCTAAAAATTCACTAGCTATATTATAACCCAAGCCTAACTTACATTTCCAGAACCCAACCGAAAACCTTATCCGTCTCAGGATCATTTTTCATCCGTAAGGATACATTCATCCATGTAGGTGCAACTTTCTCTAAGAGAGACTGTATCAATAAGAGCAAACGTATGTTAAACAATGATCGGACAAGGAACAATAGAAGTTTGAAAGTTAGAAACTCAGGCAGCAACGATTTTTTGTAGGAGTTCTGTAAGAACATTATTTCCTATGTACACCTTACTGACCGGACATGCATATAGTTTGAATCACAATACAGCAAGTGATTATCCTTTATAGCAGCTAAGTACGCAATAGAAATTCTGAGAAGAAGATTTGCATGTACATCTAAGATATAAAAATGCATACTGACACTGTACCTTCTTAATTATCACAGGAGAGTTGCCAATTGGATCGATGTTGGTCACGGGACCTTTCTCTTCAGGATAATATTTTCTTACAATTTTCTCATGCTCTTTTGGTGTTATGTAGAAAAAGGGGAATGCAGCAGGGTGATTTCCATGAGCCAAATTTGGCAATGGATTAACAAAGACGTGATCAGGTTCCGCCATTAGAATGTAGCTGCATTGGCAATAGCATAAGAAAGGAATTATATAAAACAATTATTTTATAAAAAAAATGAAGATTTTCGAGTGTTAAGCAGGGAAACATACTCCTCTTCAATTGTGGCTTTCTCCAACCACTGCACAAACGCCCAGGGTCTGTTCAAAACTACATAGCCCTATTGCAACATTTTAAACAGAATGAACTTCAAAGTGGACCAACAAGAGGCAAAAGAACGATACTATTTATAACGATGGAACACACAAAGAACACTGGAAATGAAAGGTGAGCATTTAAACACATGATCTATTTTTCATTGTTTTTTCAGCTAAATAATCTTTACCACCTGATCTTGTTTTCATACTTTCACTAAGCATATGTTGAATATATCATTGTGGTCATAGATCTTCGACTCCATGGTAGTTTCAGGATAGACTAATACAGGGATTAGCTCACTCCTACTCTAGAATCTGGAAACAGGGAATTACTTGACAAATCATATCCCACTGCATCTTCTTCCGATGCCTTGAATATAGGTTATCACATAATTTTGATTGCTTAGCTTAAACTTCGGACTCATCAGAATAGGCAGGAAAGCTTCATACTAATTGTAAACTAAAAGATACTCTAAGCTTACTTGATCAAGCCCTTCGGGGAGAGGATCTACAACAAGAGTCGGCATTTCCTCCATCAAATTATCAGGTTTTCCTGAATGCAAAACCCGTGTGAATCCTCCCATATCCGATCCAGGCACTTCCTTCATTTTTTTGTACCAATAGTACATAATTCGACATTGCCATTTGTTATACACTCCATCTGTGGCTGTGACAGCAACATGGAATTTTGCACCTCCTCCCTTTCTCAGCTCATTTGGCCGACTTACAATGGGATCATTCAATTCCTTTGTATCAGTCTCGCTTTTATCAGCCTTGTGCATCACCAAAGTTAATAAATTATACGTTGCCAAGAAGAACCCAAAAGCCAACACCATCAGAAAGAAGGGTGAAGCACGTCCTGCATTCTTCCTTGGAATCATTGTTCCTCGACCAGGTAAAAACTCAAAATAAATTCAATACCAAAACCCTGAACTAATTGAATCTGCAAGATTCACCAAAATCCAGCCCTCCAAATCACCAGCTCAGCCGAAACACACAAGCTTCCACCTTCAGCACCAATTACCAGCAACCATAAAAATAATTTTCTACTGATTTAAACTTAAGGAAAAGAAAAGTAACTAAAAACGAAAGATAAGATTAAACCTTTCAGATTTTCTATTAAATACAAAATTCAGTGCACAAAAATCCAACAATTACCGACTAGAAGACAGCTTCAGCATCACAAAAAGGTTTCCCCGCCTCCCCTGGTTAAAACCCTGCTGTTCACAACACGATTCGACCTGCCAAACAAATTGCACCAGAATAGCCCTAATAATTATCAATTAAATCACCCATACCAACAAAAACTTATAAAAATAAAAATCCCAAACGCATTCACGTAAACTACACAACACAATAAACCCCCAGCAGTCGCTTAAACGCCATCGAGAATCAATCCGCACAAGGAAACACTACAGACAATCATCCAACAAATCTACTCAACATACCAAATTGGAAAATGAAGGCACCGGAAAACGAACGAGACGAAACGCAAAAACAGGGAGAGATTGATTATATGGAGAAGTAATTCGATGTCAACGTCTTTGCACAGTGGCCGTCTCTGACTTCACACGTACAGATCCACATTCAATACATAAACAATAAATGCTGCCATTCACGATTAATAGTAATATAATATGTATGTATATATATATGTATATCTCAATTCAACTACGAATTTCTTTACCGAATTCGTCGCTTCCATAGCAGAAGACAGCGATTATTTGGATTGTTTATCCGCCGAGCTGTAGTCACCAGTCAACCATGGAAGGTTAGGGAAGCAAAGTACGCGCTATCAGTGGTATTTCCTGAGACGATGGCCAACGTAATAAAATAAAAATAAAAATAAAAATAAAAATAAAATAAAATATAGTAGCAGTAGTACATAGATTATAGCGCAGTTATAGTAAACACGACTTTGGTGTTTTTTTATTCTCAACCGTTCCTCTAAAGTCGTGTTTATCATCAACACGTTGTTTTCAATTTTCAGTAGGTTTGGTGGGGAAAAGGACCTGCAGAGAAAAATAAGATGCAAACACTTATTAAAGTGAGTATTTATAATTTATTACTTCAAAACAAATATTACTAATATATATAAATACAAATAACGACAAAGCAGTTACATGCAACAATTACAATTACTATTCTTACACTAAAATACTAGTAATTCAATTCAATTACATCTTCTTCTATAGAGTTAGGCACAATGCACATATACGTACATATATATAATATGTGTGTGAATTGTGATACCAAAACTGGAAAAACATTCGAGAAGTAAGAGTACTAATAGTAGTGAAAAAATCGAAACATCATCAACAAATTCCAACTGCTAGAAAAATGCCCTGCTACCATAGAACACCCTGGAATTGTCCTTAACCTTCTTCTTATTATTCTCGACATCGTCGTCGTCGTTGTCGTCAACCTTCTTGTCGGGGCCATGAATCTGGGCATGAGGCTTGTCCAGATCCATCGGCAGCTTCATTTTGGCCAGGGATTCAGTGAACTGCTGCATGCTCCTCATGTACATATCAACTATCTGTTGCTGCATTGCCGACTCCTCCGCCTCCGTCTTCAAGTTTCTTGCCAACCCGATAGGCGGGGATGGTTTCTTCTCGCTTTCCTCCGCCATTTCCAGATGGGATTTTGCCGGGATCTTCTTCAGCGACGCAGTGTCTGTGATGATCACAGGCGACTGTTTATCAGTCGGGGATGTCGAGAAATCTGTGTAGGTGCGACCCTTTTTCTGCTCCATTGAATCGGCAGCTGAATTCGGGTCGTCGCTTAAGCTTGTCATGGTGGAGCTGAGAAAGCTGGAGTTGTGGAGGCTTCCATTAGGCGACACTGACTCATCGGCCTGGAATTCGTCCGATGAATTGCCTGCCATTTCACAGTCTTCGACAGAGTCCGGAGAAGCTCCAAGATGCAGAAATGATCCATCAGGTTTCCCCAGCCATGGCTGCCAAAGGTTTTTGTTTTTAGCAAAGACTTCAGATACCATGAGATGGTTTTCGGCGACTACGTTCATGTCAGGGAATTCCAGCCTCGAGTATTCTTCAGGTACGATACTTTTATCCAGCAAAAGTTTCGACGTTGCAGAAGTATCAACCGCCAGATCATGGTAAGAATCCGACGGGAGATTCAGGGGAGTTTCTGCATTTAGCGAAAGCGATAATTTGATAGTACCGGCAGGGGAGTGAAACAGGTCAGTCGACGAAAGAGAAAAGTCCTGAGTCACTTTCCCTTTTCCAGAAACTGAAGTAATCGGGACCAAGGCGAAGCCGAGCAGCTGATCATCCATGTAACTCTTGGCCCTGCTCATCATCCATATCTCACATTTCAGGACAGCATCAGCCTGGTTGATTGTGACCAACAAGTCCTCATTGAATTCGGGGTTCTTCCCCCCGCCATTGATGATCCTTGTGGAGAAGGTCTCGTCCGGATTATAGGTAAGGGAGAACTTTGCATACACATCCTGGTTGTCATAGATGCATATGTTGTGTATATTCCTGGCATGATGGACATGGATTTCAAGAGTCCCGGAAAAGGCATCGCTGGATTGTGGATCTGCATTCGGGTTGTAGACGAATCGATCCATGCTCATCCTAAAAAACAGAAGAAAGAAAATACCAAACCAGATCAGAAACAGAGGAAATAAGATTTCTGGAAACTTCACAAGAAATAGATAGACAGATAGATAATAAGGAAAATCAACATGTTAACATGACTTAGAAGGAAAGTAGTAGGGAGGGTTGGAGTGACTGTGTGTGGTATGTGAGAGAGATGATGATGATAGAAGAAGACAAGTGGAGGTCAGCAGTAGGTGAGAAACAATGGAAAATAAAAAAGGGAAAATGATGAAAGTGAAAGAGAGGAGAGGAGAGAGTGTAAGTAAGGTTTGGTGTAGAAGGATGATGAGATTGTGATATTTGCTTTCCTGCAATGAAAACTTGCTCCACTAAAGGAAAATGGAGGTCCCATCTCCATTATGCACCTGCACCTTTCTTGCTTCCTCTCCAGACTCCCCAGAGATTTTTATTTAATTCTCTAGCCCACTATCATCAACACATGTTGCATGTCCAAATCTAACTACATCAAATTCTACATCATTTTGAAAGACAAGGCCTGCCCACTACTATTATGTAATGTAAGCAACTTTTTCCCAAGAAAATTCTACTGCTGATTGCCTTTCAAAAATCTGATGATAATAGTCTGTTGCCACTACATATAGCTCAAGAACAATGTATCAATAGCTAATGAAGGTATTAATTAAGTTAAGTAATCCCAGCATTGTAGTCTTCTGCACACTAGAGGTATGGTTTTATAACAACGTCAACAGATCAAACTTATGATCATCTTTCTTTACCACAAATTTTGCAATAAGCTAGTTTTCGGTATCCTTTTCATGTAAGTAGGTTAACATTCGTCTTATGTGAATAACAAAATTTTTTTAGGAACATTGGATCATCTAAGGATTGCACACAGAAGCACAAACATTCCAATGGGATTAAAGAGAACATGAGAATAGAAAATACCTTCAATCAATAGCAGAATTAGGAACACAACCATCTTCTATCCATGGATGGAGCTTCAAAGAGAACCAAGAAATGTTGTAATGAAATCGAAAATTATGCTGAGCCACTGAATACACATTTAGTAAAAGAGCACAATGCATTATACCGGCTATGTCGTCATTGTCTTCAATTTCAATGATGTGTGCCGCAGAAGGTAAAACAGTAATTATATATTGCAAAGATGCATTGTAAATTTAACCAACATTAACTCAGTGAAAGAAGTAATGCTTGTTAGTTCCTCTGCAATGGCAACACATATAGAAAGATGCATATTAACCATCAATTATCAAAGGGCTTAATCGATCATGCCTGAGAATTTGTGGCTATGTAATTTTGGGGGAAAGATTTGTTAACAACAGATCATTCAAGTTATAAAACCAATGAGAGGCAATCATCTCCAATGGGAAAATCACCTGATAATTTTCATAATTGTGTGTAAATAAGTTACCATCACAAACATCATCTTCATCATTGTTGATGTTAATACTGTTAGGCTACAAATTACTCCGATTCAACTCAAGAAAATTCACAAGCAAACTCGACTAATCACTTCATTATTGACCAAATCATGCCTCGACTAACACCAAATCAAAACCAAAACATACGCATGAAATCAAATGGATTATTTCAATCTACCCTACATAAGAATAAACACTGTCAATTTGTGAAATAACTACTTTTAGCGCTCCATTGCAAATACTAAACAACAAAAATTGTATAGAAGAGACGAGTCGTCAGCCAGCACGACAGTTGTTATCCTTAATACCTTCTTTGAGCCACCGATCAACGATTTCGACGCCATGACTATCCTTCCTACAGCTGCACTCCATTACAGATTCTAATATACTTCATCATGTTGCGTTTATACGGGTGTGTTTGACGGACTTTGGAGGAAGTTTTGATATTTCTTTAAATAAAAAAAATAAAATCAAAATTTATTAAATTAAATTAAATTAAATATTTATTCTTATATTTTATATTACATAAAAAAAAAAATTAATATAATCTTTAAGATATTATATCGGGTGTTTATATATAAAAATAGAAATATTATTATTTATCTTGATTGGTTAAAACAGAAAATTGAAAATTATTTTTTATTCTCTAATTTTATTTTTTTCGTGTATGCACAAAAATTGAAAGAAATGAAATTGAGGTAATTGTTTATTTATTTTAGTTTTTACATTTAATTTTACAATTTAATTTATATTTATTTGTTATTTTTTTAAAAAATTATTTATTATTTTATAATTTTTATAACATACAAATCTCATAAAATATTGAATTTTCTCCGTCTCTGATGTCACATTTACCTAATAATTGAACATTAAAAATATTTTTTATATTTGTATAATTTTTTTTTAAAAATATCATTCTATTAGTATTATAACACACCAATTGAAATATTTTTGCGATTTTTTCTTAATTTGTACTACGTCGTGTCTAATAATTAATATTCAAATTTCAAAATAAAAAAATAAATGAAATCTTAGAGCCAACTCGATGGAGGTAATATTTAAATTATTATTAAAATAAATTATCAAATTAAAAATATAACTAAAAAAATACAATGATATATTTTTTTTTATCTAATTTATTGATTTTTAATGACCTATTTTTTTTTTTTAATTAGCAATATAACATATTCTCTTTATGTATTCTATTGTTCTATATTTTTCAACATGAATTCTCTATTTTATCATAATTCATTTTCATTCTATACTCAACTTTTATTCTTTGGGTGTGTTTGTTTGGGGGTTTGAATTTTGAGTTGGGATTTGAATAGTAAAAATTTTGAATTTGAATAGTTGTATGATGTGATATAAATAGGTGATGATGTGATGTTTTGAATATAAAATTGATTTTTAGTATAATATAAAAAATAAAAAATAGGTGTTTGATTTGATGTTTTTGGGAGGAAAATTTTGGATGAATAGTGGAATTTTATCCAAATCCATCAAACGAACACACCCTTTGTCTGCATTTTCATTCTCTATATCAAACTCATATTTTAGATCAATATCTAATTTTAATATTTTTTTAATTTAAAATTCAAGTTTCGAACAAACACCTAAATTGTATGTTTTTAATAGCAGCTGCGGGATTTTATGTCATAAAAAAAAACATATTTCATCCGTCTCATATACCATGTTCACAATGCCGTTTATATTTGTCCCACATTTCATGTCACTTTTATTTTTTGAAAATAATTACGCATTTTAATCTCATTTTAAACTTTTTAATTTAATTTTTTTAATTTTAATTAAACTAATTAGTTATCTTAATATTAATTTATAATTATTTATATTATAAGATAATTATTTTTACTAATACATTCTTAATTATCTACTAATTATAGTTATCTTAAATTCTCGTGTCTACACTGACCCAGACATTCGACTTGGTACAGAGGGAGTATTATTCTAAAATAATTAAAATTTTATATATTTTTATATTATTCACACAATTTTTTATATTTTATATAAAAAAATATTCTTTTAAAACAATTTTGCTAAAAGAAACAAACTCGTAATTATTTGAAATTTTAAAGAATAAAAATTAAAATTAAAATAATTATTTAATACTATAATATAAAATATATAGTCTATTGTAATTTCTACTTGCTGGTTTTACTAATTTGATGTGACAAATAGCTCTATGCCATATACTCCCTGCGTCCAGAACTATAGTATTAATTGATATTATATTGATAGTTAGTGTAAAAAATATAGATAAAATATTTTTTTATCCTTGTGAGTATATTAGTGTAAAAAATAGTGATAAATATGTAATAAAAATGAAAAAATAATGATAGTTTTACGATAATATAACTATTTATGAAAATAAAATTATTATTTTGAGAGAGAGTAAGAAGAAGTGAATACAAAATTACTAGAAGCAAGTCATGTTATACACGCCAATTGGATGTTATACTAATTTTTTAATTATTTTTTTAAATTATGCAGTTGATAAATATATATATTGAAAAAGTAATAATAATAATGGCAGTTATTGAACAATTAAACTATATTATTTTTCACGAGAAATATATATATTTTTAATACTTTAACATAAACTTTTAATGTTCGATATATTAGAGATGTAAATTTGTCTATCAAATTGTATATTTAAATATAAATGTCACTTTCTTTTAATAATAATCCAATAAACATTTCTAGTGTCATATATTTACGATATTACTATTGTTTTTTTCAAAATTTTTAAATAATTCTCTCATATTACATCAGTCTCATAATAATTATTGCACTTGATTAATGATAGGATATTTAATAAAATATATTTTAATAATTAAATTAATGATAATAGATAATAATACTATCTTATTATTTTTTTTTATTTGAATGATAGTGTTAAATATTTTTAAAATAAAATTTAATATATTATTATAACAAATTTAAAATATATACTAAATATTTTACTCTATAATCTCAATAAAATATATACTTTGTTAAAATTATTTTAAAATAATAAAACTGTATATAATACAATAAAATAAAAATATATTTGTTTATTTATTTATGATTAACATAAATTTATTTATAAAAAAATATAAAAATTTAAATGTAGATAAAAAAAATTATTTATTAAAAAAATAAAAAATATATTAAAAATGTAATTAAATTAACTGAGAAAATAAATAAAAATAAAATAATTTTGAATAAATTTTTAAAAAATTAATTAAATTAATTTATACTTATTAAATATATATTTAATATTGATAAATTTATTAAAAATGAGATGCATTACAGAAAACGGGTCCAAGGACCGAAACGAATATTATTTATTAATTAAGCAATTATTTTAATTTTTATCTTATATTTATAAAATTTTAGTATGTTGTCGTTTTAATTATTGGTATGACAGCTACGAGATAAATATAGGGTTTATCCGACCATATATAATTTTATGACGGATGAATATTACAGAAAAATATATATATAATACATATGCATACAATTATTTATAAAAATTAATAATCTAATACAAAAGTATTAATTTTAATATTATAATAAATATTTTCATATCTAAACTAAATATATTCATTTAAAAATACAAAAATGAACATTGATAAATTATTATTTAAAAGGTAAAATAAGATGTTTATATAAGTAATTTACAAATAGGGAGTTTAAATGAAAGAATTTATAGATAGGAAAGAAAGAATTTAAAGGTAGGAAATGACAATAAAAAAATAATTAAGAGTTAAAGAATTTTAAGATAAATAACTTTTATTTGATCTTAAATAATAATTTTTATATCTCAAATTTAGGGTTGTATTTAATATTAGATTCTGTAGGATTTTGTTGGGCTTTCAAAGTCTGCGTCTATTCAATTAAGATTTTTAAAAGTTAAAATTTAGAGTATTCAATCCAGACTTTTAAAGTCTGAGGTATTTAATATAGACTTTGAAAGTTTATAGATTTTAATGGATTGTAATGGATTTTTGTGAAAATTTTGTATAGAAAAGAATATTTCCTTACCATCACAGATTTTGATGGATTCTTAAAATTTTTTATTATTATTATTATTATTATTATTATTATTATTATTGTTGTTGTTGTTGTTGTTGTTGTATATATGATCAATAATATGATAATATTTATTATTATTATTATTATTATTTTTAATAAAAATAATAATTTAAAACTAAAATATATTAGCAAATTATTAGGATTTTTATAAAAAAATATATTTTATATTATAAATATAATTTTAAATGATATTATTATATTACTGTCGTCTTTTTTTTTTTTTAATTATCGAATACACTATATTATCATTACGATAACGGTGAAATAAATATTTAAATATATATTTTTTGTTGAACCGTTAATTTATATTTACTTATTTATTTTAATATTTTTTTCAAAACTCATAAATTATATATTTATTAAATATTAAATATTACTTCCTCCGTCCCAAACATCCTGCAACATTTCTTTTTTGGTAAATCTCAAACACCATGCAACATTTCCAAAATAGAAAATAATTAATTATACCTAATCTCTACCCTACGCTTTATCCCCACACATCATCCAAATAAAATAATAAAATATATATTTCTCTCTCTATCACATCACCTGATTTCTAAATTATTCTACTTAATACTATCCACCTAGAAACTCGTATCAAAAGTAAATGTTGCACCTTGTTTGGGACGGATGGAGTATCTTATTAATATTGATTCATTATATTTATAAAATTTGTTGTTTGATATAAATTTATATAATTAATATATATTCACAAAAAAAATTATTTTAAAATCCTAAAAAATTCATATAAATCCATAAAAAATTCAATCAAATCCGTAGAAATTCATATAAATCAATTACTAAAATCTATCAAAATCAACGTAAACTCTGTGGATTTTATAAATTCATATAAATCCATAGACTTTTTAAAATTCATTAAAATCCCAAGTGAATACACCCTCTTAATGTATTATTTTTATCATTATTATATATTCTATTTAAAAGAATTTATTTGCAATTATAGTAAAAATAATCATATTTAAATACACCCTTAAGTGTGTTTTGTTCAAGTTTTAAATCCCAACTCAAAATCCAAACTCCTAAACAAATACATCCTTAAATGTGTTTTGTTCAAGTTTCAAATCAAACTCCGTATAATTTAAAATATCATATTAAAAATTATTTATACATAATTATTTTAATTTCAAAATTTTATAATTTTAAAAATATACCAAAGCACTAAAATACGATCAAATAAATACCAATATTATTATATTGAAATATTTTATTATTAAAAAATATCAAAACTTTAGTAAGACTCTTTTGAGATGGGATCCATCCACCTTAAATT